ATGTTTAATTTATATATATATATATATATATATATATATATATATATATATATATATATATATATATATATAATATAGTAAGACTAAAAAGCTTGGGTAGTCTAGTCATTTATGAAGGGATGTCCATCAAGAAATAATCAGTAAGTACCTTATCAGCCATGACATCAGTCACTGAAGATGGAGTATGGCAACAAAGGCCCAGGTCTTTATGCAGCAAGGCTAACAGCTAACTGAACAATGCTGCTGTTTCCTTATTGTTTTTCAGGCTTACTTTACAGATGTCTGTCTGCTGACAGTTTGATTGTGATGGATTCTGCTGAGGCAGCTGAATTTAGACGTTCACCAAGACTGAGTAAACATTTGGACAGATTATAGAGCAGCCTCTGAGAACCATTGGCATAAATTAGGTGAATGTTCAACTCATACATTTGCATAATAACACAAATGTTGTTCAGATGAGAAAACAGCGCGGGGGGGGGGGGGGGGGGCGCAACATTTTTGAGAGGCGTACAGTGGTGTTTAACAGTTTGTGAATCCTTTATAATTTTCTATATTTCTGCATAAATATGAGGCAAAACATCTTCAGATTTTCACACAAGTCCTAAAAGTAGATCAAGAGAACCCAGTTTAACAAATGAGATAAAAATATTATACTTGGTCATTTATTTATTGAGGAAAATGATTCAATATTACGTATTTGTGATGGTAAAAGTATGTGAACTTCTGGGATTATCAGTTAATTTGAAGGTGAAATTAGAGTCATGTGTTTTCAATCAATGGATGATGGTCAGGTGTGAGAGGACACCCTGTTTGAGTTAAAGAACAGGATCTATCAAAGTCTGATCTTCACAACATGTTTGTGGATCATGTCAGGAACAAATGAGATTCTGAGGAGCTCAGAAAAAGAGTTGTTGATGCTCATCAGGCTGGAGAAGATTACAAACATCTGTAAAGAGTTTGGACTCCACCAATCCACAGTCACACAGATTGTGAACAAATGGAGGAAATTCTGGACCATTACCCTCCCCAGGAGTGATGGACCAACAAAGATCACTCCAAGATCAAGGTGTGGAATAGTCGAAGAGGTCACAAAGGTCCCCAGGGTAACTTCTAACATCTGAAGGTCTCTCTCACATTGACTGATGTTGATGTTCATGAGTCCACCATCAGAACTCTGAACAACCGTGGTGGTTCATGGCAGGGTTGAACTGGCTGCTCTCACAAAGAACATTCATGCTCGTCTGCAGTTTGATAAAGATCACGTGGTCGAACCAGAAGACTGTTGGAAGAATGTTTTGTGGAAAGATGAGACCAAAATAAACTTTTTGGTTTAAATGAAAAGAGTTATGTTTGGAGAAATGAAAACTCTGCATTCCTGCACAAGAACCTGATCCCATCTGTGAAACATGGTAGTGGTAGTATCATGGTTTGGTTCTGTTTTGCTGCATCTGGGCCCGGACGGCTTGCCATCATTGATGGGACAATGAATTCTCATTCTCATCATCCTACATACTTTTACCACTCACAAATACAGTAAGTGATATTGGATCATTTTCCTCAATAAATAAATGACCAAGTATAATATTTTGTCTCATTTGTTAAACTGGGTTCTCTGAATCTACTTTTAGGACTTGTGTGAAAATCTGAAGATGTTTTAGATCGAATTTATGCAGAAATATAGAAAATGATTAAGAGTTCACAAATGTTCAAGCACCCCCTGTAAATCCATTATATTACCTATAAAAATGATGGATGTGCTTTTCTTTATGTTGCTCAAAATTATAGTTTTCACAAGTGATTTATTTGAGGGGACAGTCTCCAGTTTTCCAAAACTGGGATGGTCCCGAGCCACCCAACCACATCATCCCTGCCCCCACCCCTGGATTTCCACCCAAGAACTAAACAAATAGTGTAATGCAGAAGACTAGATGTTAATTATTAGCTGTTTTATTTTACACTGGCATGGTGTTTTTGAAAACAGTTGTTTAATTAGCCTGAAACAATAAAACGTGCTGAGCATGGACCGTCTATGAATCATTAACCTAACCTGAACAAATACTTTTGCATTTTCTCCTTTCTTGCTATAAGACTGATGTTGCAGCTGATAAGGTACAAGCTTGTTTTAACTATTAAGCAGAACATCATTTCAAAAATAACCAGACTATCTATTTAAGTCAAATTTTCACCGTTTAGTACAATTGCAGCTTTGGTCATCACACGTGGATATGAAAAGAAGCTGACTGCAACAAGTGTTCAGAGATAGTTGTCACAGCTGATATGTTACGAACTACAGGCAACAAATGAAAGAACATCGTTTCAACAATGACCAGAATGTTCCTTTCATGTTCATTGTGTGCGTGTGCAACCTTGATTTTCTTTCGAACTCAGACATGAATGAGCACAGCTCCAGGAGTCACAGCATCTTCCTCATCAACATCAAGCAGGAAAACACACAGACTGAGCAGAAACTCACTGGCAAGCTGTACCTCGTCGATCTAGCTGGCAGTGAAAAGGTGAGACATCTTGCTCCTTTTCACTCACTTTCTTCCTCACTGTTTCAACCCGCGTCGTCTCTAAGATCATTTCTTTCACCTTTTATTATTTGCAGTGGAGCTATGAATATGTATTCAAGATTGTTTATTCATACATTTTATTGTTGTGTAATTAGTTACAGAGTTGCAAACTTATTCAAGGCCTTTTTATTTTGTTGCTTTACAAACTGTGATTTATATAAAACTATGGGTTTTGTAGAGTTTGGCTTATAGAACTGCTGCCTATCAGCAAGAAGGTTGCCGGTTCAAATACTGGCCTTTCTGGGTGGAGTTTGCATGTTCTCTCCGTGCATGTGTGCGTTTTCTCTGGGTGCTCCGGTTTCCTCCCACAGTCCAAAAACATGCATGTTAGGCTGATTGGTAACTCTAAATTGTCCCTAGGTGTGAGTGAGAGAGTGAATGGTTGTTTGTCTCTATGTGTCCCTGTGATGGACTGGAGACCCGTCCAGGGTGTACCCCGCCCCTCGCACAGTGATTGCTGGACATGGGCACCAGCGACCCCCGTGACCCAAAATGGAATAAGCGGGTAAAGATAATGGATGGATGGATGGATAGTTACAGAGTTGCAAACTTATTCAAGGAGTTTTTATTTTGTTGCTTTACAAACTGGGATTTATATAAAACTATAGGTTTTGTAGAGTTTGGCTTATAGAACTGCTGCCTGTCAGCAAGAAGGTTGCCGGTTCAAATACTGGCCTTTCTGGGTGGAGTTTGCATCTCTCTGTGCATGCGTGAGTTTTCTCCGGGTACTCCGGTTTCCTTGCACAGACCAAAAACATGCATGTTAGGCTGATTGGTAACTCTAAATTGTCTCTAGGTGTGAGTGAGAGAGAGCCATTGGTTGTTTGTCTCTATGTCCCTGTGATGGACTGGAGACCTGTCCAAGGCGTCCTCAGCATCCTCTGCTCAGACACCTCCGTCAGAGACTGCAGGTCCACTCCCAGAACAGAGCCAGCTCTCTTGATGAGCTTATTGAGTCTGTTGGCATCAGCTTTCTTCTTTCCAGCACACCACAGCGTAGAAGAGCTGGAGACCACTAGGTGGTAAAACATCTGCAGCATGGTCCTGCAGATGTTAAAAGACCTGAGTCTTGTCAGAAGAAAAAGGCGACTCTGCACTTCCTTGTAGGTCCTAAGCTTAATGACTTACTTGAACTCCTACTGCTCCTAATGTGCGAGCAGTGCTATTGTCATTAAAACATCACGTTTTTACATTATTTTGTTCTGTATTTTCATGTAATTATCATCATTTTCACTTTTTGTTCTAATCCACTGCATTTTGATAAGTCATGCCAGGTTGACTACTGATTCTATCATGTCAAGAAAATGTTGTTTTTTTTGTTGCTATATTAAAAACCTTTTTTACAAACTTATACTTTATGTACCTTTATAAAAATGTCCTGTGTTTGTGATTCAAAGGTGGGTAAAACTGGAGCAGAGGGCACAGTTCTGGATGAAGCAAAGATGATCAACAAGTCCTTGTCGTCATTGGGTAACGTGATCTCAGCTCTGGCGGAGGGCTCGGTGAGGCGGCTCCCAGCACTGCTCCGTCCAACCACACAACACTACATAAAGTTCACTTGTTCAACATGTTTGCAAATATGACAATATATGGTAAAGTAACAGGTGTCTAACATAAATATAGTGAGCAAACATGCAACATGTGAAGTACAGGAAAAACATGTTTTGCACATTTCTTGTGTGGATTTGGAACAAAAAACATGTTTTCCATTCACGACAGGTGTAACTTATTACGATGAAAATACAGAGTATTTCTGAACAAAATATCAAAGCACTGAATTGTTTATTAAACTGTTTATTTATTTATTTATTAATTTAACCTTTAGTTTGACAGGCGAGACATTAAGAACAACTTATTTGCAGTGTCGGCCTGGCATGAGTATCACTTCGTCCTAACTGAGACAAACTGGAAGTGTCTTTAACGGTTTAATGCTTTCATTGTCGTGAATCAGTCATTGTCAACATAAATTGGTGATTTTAACTAAAAAAAATTAAAAAAAATCTTCAATGTCAAAGTTAAATCAAATTTCTACAGCGTGACTCCTATTAAATGTAAATAAAAATTAAAGTAAAATAAGTGACAGCATAAATGTTCACTGCCTTTTCTATGGGGCGATTGTGGCGTCGTGGTAGGGCAGCCACAGTCACACTGGAAATCACATTTTCGACTCCCTGCCATCAGGTGTTGAATAGAAAAGTGGATTAATCGACTAGTCGATTCTGGGCATCTCTCGAGGTTTGATATTTCACAGCGACTAGTCACAACCCCCCCCACCCCACACACACACACACACACACACACTGTTCCCAACCCTATTCCACCCAATCCACGGTGGTGGATTAAATCAAATAAAACTAAGAACAGCGGAGCGGGTGGGGGTGGACTCCATCACCACCCGCTCCGCTGTTCTTAGCCTTATCTTTTACGTGCCACACGTTTCTTTCATTTTTTCAGCTTGATAATAGTTTTCCTTTGACTTATTTGCAGTATATGATAAATGGTAGCATAAATATACGCCTGGTGTTTTGTTCTTATTTATTTCAAATAGTAAATTGTGTTTTTTTGCTTATATTTAAAAAAAAAAAAATTCAAATATGATATAGTGTCGAGTTCCTATGACGTCATCGACTAGTCGTTAAAGTGGAATAAAACATGTAGTCGTTTAACCCCTACCATGCACATGTGTCACATGTCCTTGAGCAAAACATCTATTCCCTCACTACTCCCCGGGCAACTACCCTGCTGCCCGCCGCCCCAAACAGCTGCACGTGTGATGGGTCAAATGCAGAGCACAAATATTGCCAAAGAATGGGGTCATATAATGATGACAATACACAGCACATTCACAAAGTTAATAAAGCGCCTACATATTTTACCTCCAGTAATGAACCTTTCCTGAGCAGGATTGTTATCAACACTGTACAAGGTAGGAAACCCACAATATGACTGTTTTGGCAGAGTTAGGATTTTGTGATCCGTCTTCACGTTTGAGTGTTTGAAATAAGGCTGATATTTTTTGGTTTGTGTTCTTTGTCAGAGCTACGTGCCATACAGAGACAGTAAAATGACGAGGATCCTTCAGGACTCCCTGGGAGGGAACTGTCGGACCACCATGGTCATCTGCTGCTCACCTTCCTCTTTCAATGATTCAGAGACCAGGTCTACATTGCTGTTTGGACAGAGGTACACAGACAGGAACACTTTCAAAAAGATCAGCCTCTTTCCGATGAGGTGACAAACAGAATGACTTCTGGACGTCTGTGTTTTGAATATGAACTTTACTTCACCAGGGGCTTCATGTGTCAAAGTTCAAATCACAGTTTTCCTACTGAAAAGTGGCATAGGAACAAAATGAAAAAAGCACGAGCGCACTAAGATATTCAGACTTATCAAACTGTGCACATGCTCAGCTTTGCTTCATACATCCCAACAAACGTGGAACTGAATGCACATGAAATGCCTCCCTTGAGACACCTCTATTTAAATATGTAAAATAGGTGCAAATATGTGTTGCACGTGTAAATTCTAATCTCTGCGTGTTAGAAAATGATGCTGATGCAGCAAAATGTCTGGTGCTCCGCTGCTCACCGTTGATCAGCAGCTCGTTACAACACTGGTCTCCTTTAGTAGTTTAAATTGCACTTCTAATGCCGAGTCATTTCCAACAGAGACACTCAGGAACCTGGAGGCGAATCAAGAGACGGGTCGCTGCACATCAGCTGAGTGTTTCAGCCACGATGTAGGGGAATTTATCAGAGCATCATATGGACGAGGCTGTCCAATATGACTAGCGTGGCGTGGCATGGCTCAGGAACAACTGTGAAATACCCGTTTGGTATTTGATCGGTGTGATCCCCAAAACACTCCCCAATAATTCTGTTGGTGATGTCTATTTATGGACACGTGTAATGGTCTGCACCATGATGACCTGAAGAATCATCACAAGTTGCTCTGAATTAATATTCAAGTCAGGTTTATTTAAATAGCACATTTTAAACAGGAACTGTTAATATGCTAATCTGACACTGTTCTCTTCTCAGTGACCATGGAAGGGCCCCTTAGACAATTCACGTGCATTTTATGTGTCACTACATATGTTTTCATACATGTCTGTACGAGTTTGTATGTGCATACTGTATTTTTTAATATACTTTATATTATTGCTATTGTTGGGTGTAACTGGGACCTTGAGTACACAGTTTTGTTCCACTTCATGTGCCACATGTGATGCGAAAGACAATAAAGTCACCTTGAACCTTGAAAACAAGATGGTCTTTACAAGGTGTTAGTGGGGTCTTCAGATGGTTATAAATGATGTGGTATGTTCCCCGTTACCCATGATACATGACAGATAATTGAGGGTTTGATAATGCACAGCTTCTGTAGCAAAACTGTCGTAGTAGTGTATGTAGGGCTTCTTAATGAAGCATGGTGATGATGGCAATGTAACCATGATGTGGGGTCTATACACACCCACAGTGCTTGATTCTGGATAAATTCAAGCAAGACTGGCCATGCTGGCCTCATGTCTGCAGTATTACAGTGACTGTGACTCATGAAAACAGCCTAGTGCAGACATGGTACCTAGCCAAATCCTGTTCAAGAGAGTCAGGCCAGGGCAGGTGTTTGGAGTCAGGTGAGAGTGCAGAAGAGTATTTCAGGATGCAGAAAATAACATTCAGTTCAGTTTATTTATATAGCGCCAAGTCACAACAGAAGTCATCTCAGGACACTGACATGGGAAAGCTATTTAGTGAATACTAAAAGCAAAGAAGTGTCATGCATGTCTTGATACTGAAAAATGGGTGGTTTTTTTTTTCAAATTTGCTAAATTCAACTAATTGTGTAGGTCAGAAGAGGAGAAATTGGGATTATCATCCAATGTGAAGAGGGGCCCAACCTAAATAATTTTCATAGATTTGTTTCATTTTACTCAACAGAGCAAAGACCATCAAGAACACAGTGTGTCTGAATGTGGAACTGACTGCGGAGCAGTGGAAGAACAAGTGGGAAAAAGAGAAGGAAAAAAACAAGTCACTGAGAAACACCATCACTTGGCTGGAGAATGAGCTCAACCGATGGAGGAGTGGTAAAGGGCTCCAACACCCCCTCAGATTTTTTCATCTTATCTGTGACGCTGAATTACTTCTTAGGTGGTCAATAATACAGAGGCAGATGAGAGTGATGCATGTTAATTCATTACTAAGGTAGTAGTGACACTAAACATTGCAGTTATAATCTGGCTGTCATGCCCTAGTTCTGATTATTGCGAAATGAAAAAGAAAGAAAGATGAAAAAAATTGTTAATTTAGTCACACAATTTTATTTATTTTATTTTCTCTTTATGTTATAACTTGATCAGCAATGGGTCCTAGATTCAATCTCAACAAAAAATATTTAGACTGAATTAAAAATAGCATGAAGATTAATGATGCAAGTTCACCATAAATACGTGCAGTTAGTTTCATCTTATATTACAGATCTTATTGCTCCATATTTTCCTAACAGACCACATCGCTCTCAGACTGCAGGTTTACTTGTGGTTCCTAGAGTTTCCAAATGTAGAATGGAGCTTTCAGTTGGTACTTGCGGAACCAACTTCCAGTTTCTGTCTGTGAGGCGTCTTTCTTTCTTTGATAAATCCTAGAGTTAGTGTCAACTTGGGTTTCCTGAGCAATCCCTTAGTTATGCTGCTATAGGCTTAGACTGCTGGAGGAAAAGTTAACCACATTTCTTCACTCTGCTGCTGTCTTTACTTGCTCTACTCCACCTGTTTGTATTAGTGATTATTTATATCCGTAACTGTTTTTTAAAATGTATTATTATTTTACCTTCAATAGAAAGTACACCTCGACCTGCCATTCAGTGTTTGTCTGTTTCTCTGTCCTGTTCTCTCAAACTCAGCCATTCGAGGCATCTGGCCGCTCGTCCCAAGCCTTGTTCTTCTGCAGGTTTCTTCCTGTTAAAAGGAAGTTTTCATTTTCACTGTTGCTTTTGCTCTTGCTCAGGATGGGTGAATGCAACGGAGGGACGATTGATTGCAATCTGCTGGCTTCCATAGATACAGTGGTGATATATACGGTACACAGTAGAAACGATAGACATTTAGCCTACGATAGAGATCTGTCTTCTACCAGCTAACTGCAGTAATGCTGTGTCTGATGTAAAATCAGAGTTGTCAGATTTAATCGTTACTTGTTTTAGTTGAAAACTGTGCGTAAGTGGTGTTAAAGTCTTTTCTTCGAGAGCTAAATAGCGAAGCTACGAGCTAACTTTGGCCGGCTTGTTGTAGTGTTGCCATATTTGGACGCATGCACAAAATGCTGTGTTCTATCGAAAGGTTTTTTTTTTCCTGTCGAAAGTTAAAGTAAGTGTTGGTCAGCTTTACAGAAACCTGCTCTCTGATCTGTGAAAAGAACGCTGTGTTGTGTGATTTTACTGCAAGACCCTCTGGTCAAAGCCATAGAGGAAACTGGTCGCCATTTTGTGTCAGCTCTCCTTAAAACGGAAGGAGACGCCCACTAGAGGGTTGGAGGGTTAAGTGTTTATATGGCTAAATCTACATTTGATATATTTTGCACTACAAGAAAGAAACCTAATACTTGATTTGTTTATTATTTTAAAACTCTTTGGACCTAGTGGTGGAATTTTCTTAATTGAGATTATTTTGTGGTATAGCAGTTTTCAAAATAAATGATGGCAAAAGGACACCCTATGCTTTTTTCATTCCTATTGCAAGTTTTATACAAGAAACATATCGTGATATATATCGTTATCACCACCCTTTACAATACATATTGTGATATTAATGTTATGCCATATCGCACATTCCTAACAGTGGTGCTTGAAAGTTTGTGAACCCTGTAGAATTTTCTATATTTCTGCATAAATATGACCTAAAATATCATCAGACTTTCACACAAATCCTAAAAGTAGATAAAGAGAACCCAGTTAAACAAATGAGACAAAAATATTATACTTAGTCGTTTATTTATTGAGGTTTCTTTCCTTAAATAGATAACTTTTACTTTTACTTTTACTTTTTTTTTTTTTTACTGTAAGTATGTGAATGTTTTTGCACAGTGTTCTGAGACAACTTGGTGCTAAATAAATAAACTGAATTATTGAATTGAATAGTTAACTTTATACTCAGATTAGATATAAGAGTACAGTAGTCCCTCGTTTATCAGGGGGGATCCATACCCTGAAGCTCCTCGATAAGTGATGTATATTAACGCATCTCAAACCCTTCCCACACTTTTGCAATATTCTAAACAATGTTTCTAAACTCTAAAAACTCTAAAAAAAAGCACAGAATGTCATGATTTCAGCTCCCTGCCTCTGGCTGCTCTCTTGGCCAAGCCCACTTCTCCGCTTTGCACAGAGATCAGCTGATCAGCTGCAGGAGGAAGCTTCTCCCACAGCTGTGGGCTGCACACAGGTGCTAAATCATTTAAAATAATTTATTTTAAATAATAAATTTCATGCCGATCTTTGGCCCATCTATCAATCAGCTAATTGTGTGTCATGTCCAGTCTCACTTTGAAAAACCGTGATAGAACAAATCCGTGAAAAACAAACTGCGAAGTAGCAAGGGACTACTGTATATGTTTTCATTATATTCATTTATCTAGTATAGACACCTTAATCAAATAAGCACATGAGAAATTTTAACATTTCACATTAACATTTTAAGCAAAACACTTAGAAAGCATGGATCTCCCATCTCACCACTTCTCTGCTCTCCCCTGCAGGAGAGAATGTTCCAGTGGAGGAGCAGTTTGACAAAGAAAAGGCTAAAGCTGAGGTGCTGGCTCTGGACAGCACCCTTAACAATGAAAAGACGGCGCCCAACACACCTCTCAGCACCATGACTGGAGTCAATCTGAAATATACAGAGAAGGAGCACTATGAGACAGAAATGGCCAAACTCTACAAAGAAATGGATGACAAGGTGACTCCTTTTCACACCTTTGCACTTGGTGATAAAGTAGACCAAGCTTGCTAGAAAGTGAATTTACTGCTACGGGTTGCAAGTAGTTGAAATCAAATATTTAGTTAATTGATTTACTTTGTAAAAAAAAAAATAGAATAATACCATCCAAGTCACGCCATTACCAACAGTAACAAACATGTTTACCTACTTTTTTCCTGTGTCAATTAAAAACGGAACAAGTCAGAGATCTGGAAAACGTTTTAGTACCACTGAAAAATTCTAAAAGTCTATATTGCGAAACAATATTACTTTAATATGAATCTTGTGTGACTTTACATTTGTCCATTCTGAAACACTGGTGGCCCATTGCACATGATGACTGCAGAATGATATATTTGTTAGTACATGTAGTTTTCCACAAATTACAGAAAAAAAGTCACAGTGGTAATGTCTAATGATCGCAAGTCAATTCAGGCAAAAAGCTCAGATTTTAATATTTGAATATACAATAAAATGTTTAGTTTTTTTGCATTATCTAGTTTTTTATATTAATATTGTAATTTATGGGTATGCTGAAGCATGGTATTAGAAATTTGTGCTGTTAAAAATTGAATTAAGAACCCTCATTCTGCTTTATAATGCTTCATGTGCGTGTATGTTCTTCTGCGTAGTTTATCTTTTGAGACAGTAGATGGTACACACGTCTTCTGTTCAGTAACGTTCAGTGTGTGGAGATAATTGTTTGGTTTCTTCTTGTTTTTTCTCCCATTATATCCTCCATCCAGGACGATGAGATTAATCAGCAATATCAGCTAGTCGAGAAGTTAAAGCAACAGATGCTGGACCAGGAGGAGGTGACAAATCATTTCATTGACCTCTCCTCTCCTAATCCACTCTTTTTGGCCTCAGTTCTGTCAGCACAGACACAGTCTTACACCTGACTATTACTAGTCTCATTTTAGCCTCCAACTAAGGGAAATATGGAACATTTTTGCAGCACAGAATTGTGTTATGTACTTTCTGTTATTTTCATTTCCTTGTAAACCTTATCCATACTTTATGTTCTAATTCCCCCCACCAGCTATTATCCTCCTCTTGCCATGACCATAACACCCTACAGACAGAGCTGAACAGGATGCTTGCTGAGAACGAAGCCTCCAAGGAGGAGGTGAAGGAGGTGCTGCAGGCTTTGGAGGAGCTGGCTGTCAACTACGACCAGAAAAGTCAGGAAGTTGAGGACAAAACAAAAGAGTTTGAGGCTCTCAGCGAGGAACTGAACCAAAAGTCTGTAAGAAAATTTAAGCTCAGTATGAACAAAACTTTGTCAGTAAGGTGATGCTTTTGAGACATGGTCACTGTGCAATGTGTGTTGTCATCCATTTTCAGAGCTGTTTGGCCTCCATTGACTCTGAGCTTCAGAAGCTGAAAGAGATAACCAACCACCAGAAAAAACGGGTCACTGAAATGATGTCATCCTTACTTAAAGATCTGGCTGAGATCAGCGTTGTGGTGGGAAGCAATGACCTCAAGGTGCTTTTGCTTGCCTTATATGTATTTTTGGGTCACGTGACTATGCGCTTTGAATAGTTCCTCAAACTGTGTATTTTGTCCATCTGTTTAAAATTAAGTGATCTAAAAAATGTAGGACAATGTGGAAACTGTTCCACTTCTTTTCTTCCAGCTGGGTACAGCTAAACTTAAGTTAAGGTCAGAAGTTTACATACCGTATCATGGTCATGAATACCATATTAATTTAGGGCTTTCGTTGGTAGATGTGAACCATTTATTTTATATGATTTGTATACTTACACAACATACATCTTCAGCAGTGTCATGTTTTTTTCACGTCAGGCTTTTTGAGCACAAGATGTAGACAATAATAATAATAATAATAATAATAATAATAATAATGCTTTATTTATGAAGCCCTTTAAAACAACCACGGCTGCAACAAAGTGCTGTACATGTGAAATCAAGAACATTTAAATGCATACAGGAATAAAACAGGCAAAACATTAAGATCAATTAAAAACAATATAAACAGTGCAGAGAAAATTTCAGGCTGTGCCAAAAGTTGTGGAATAAAATTTGTTTTTAAAAGAGGCAGAAGTCTCGTGACAACGTGAAGACTCGGAGGTAGTGGTTGTTAGTTTGAAACTGAAGCTCCGGGGCAGATATAAAAAACAACACAGCGTTTTTGAAGCTCTATGTCAGAGCTTGATTCCTTTGGCAAAAGTCACATGATCAATGATGTCTAAATCTTCAAAAGTGCCAACGTTGCGTCTCTTCGTTGGTACCTGAATCATAGCTATAGGAAGTAAATCATTAGTAGGATTTGTGGTGTGTTTTGGTGGTACAATTTGCACAAAATATAACAAACCAGCAAACGACATATAGAAAACATGGAGCCAGCCATTCAGGGTTTTATGTTTTTATTTTATTAATCAAAAAGCTCTTTTATCCCAATGATTTATTTTTTATTTTTAGAAAAACACTATATGTACGTTTGTGACAATCTGATCTCAAACAAACTGGTTTGTTACATAAAGTCATGGAGGCAGGAAACCTGCAACAAAAGTGTCATTCCAGATTGATTTTGTGTTGTGAATTAGATATGATTTATTTTTTAAAAATCTGGTTACAAATGTCGTCACAAGCAAAGGGGCATCATGCCATGCCACATGTTTTAACATGTTTATCAAAATTATTTATTCATTAAATAACTATAACTTTATTCTTTCACCTACAAGATAATAAAAGTTCACAGCAGCTCAATGACATCCTGATATCTGAGAGAAATGTCTCAAGATGTTAAACAAAAGCTGTCAGCTCTGTTGGTTGGACATCCATGATGAAGCCAATCCTTTCATGCTGTGGTTTCAAACTGATCTTTATACTTTTGGCCACACGTCACCAACAGGGAGCATGTTGAAAAGCTTTGAGTAATGAACCCTTTTTCGAAACAAGCTTCAGTACTTCAGAAAAGCTTAATTTACCCATCACTACTCAGAGGTAAGATCCATCCATCCATTTTCTTCCACTTATCGGGGGTCGGGTCACGGGGGTAGCAGCCTAAGTAGGGAGGCCCAGACTTCCCTCTCCCCAGCCACTTGGTCCAGCTCCTCTGGGGGAACCCCGAGGCGTTCCCAGGCCAGCCAAGAAACATAGTCCCTCCAGCGTGTCCTGGGTCTTCCCCTGGGCCTCCTCCCGGTGGGTCGTGTCCGGAACACCTCACCAGGGAGATGTCCAGGAGGCATCCTAAACAGATGCCTGAGCCACCTCAACTGGCTCCTCTGGAGAAGCAGCGGCTCTACTCTGAGTCTCTCCCGGATGATCGAGCTTCTCACCCTATCTGTAAGGGAGAGCCCAGACACCCTGCGGAGAAAACATTTCGGCAATTTGTATCCGAGATCTTGTTCTTTCGGTCACAACCCAAAGCTCATGACCATAGATGAGGGTGGGAACGTAGATCGATTGGTAAATTGAGAGCTTCGCCTTTTGACTCAGCTCTCTCTTCACCCCGACAGACCTGTACAGCGCCCGCTTCACTGCAGACGCTGCACCTATCTGCCTATCAAGCTCACGCTCCATTTTTCCCTCATTCACGAACAAGACCCCAAGACACTTGAACTCCTCCACTTGGGGCAGGACCTCCTCCCTGACGCGGAGAGGGCACTCTACCCTTTTCCAGCTCAAGACCATGGCCTCAGATTTGGAGGAACTGATCCTCATCCCGGCCGCGTCGTACTCGGCTGCGAATCGCTCCAGCGAAAGCTGTAGATCACGATCTGATGAAGCCAATAGGACCACATCATCTGCAAAAAGCAGAGGAGCAATCCTAAGGCCACCAAGATGGATCCCCTCAACACCTTGGCTGCGCCTAGAAATTCTGTCCATAAAAGTTATGAACAAAATCGGTGACAAAGGGCAACCTTGGTGGAGTCCAACTCTCATCGGGAACAAGCCCGACTTACTGCCGGCAATGTGGACCAGGCTCTGACACCGGTCATACAGGGACCTAACAGCCCATATCAAAGGGCCCGATACCCCATACTCCCAGAGTACCCCCCACAGTGTTCCCCAAGGGACGTGGTCAAACGCCTTCTCCAAGTCCACAAAGCACATGTAGACCGGTTGGGCAAACTCCCACACACCCTCCAGGACCCTGCTGAGAGTGTAGAGCTGGTCCAGTGTTCCACGGCCAGGACGAAAACCGCACTGCTCCTCCTGAATCCGAGGTTTGACTATCCGACGGACCCTCCTCTCCAGAACCCCTGAATAGACCTTACTAGGGAGGCTTAAGAGCGTGATCCCCCTGTAGTTTGAACACAATCTAGGGTCCCCCTTTTTGAATAGGGGGACCACCACCCCGGTCTGTCAATCCAAGGGAACTTCCCCCGATGTCCACGCAATATTGCAGAGTCGCGTAAGCCAACACAACCCTACAACATCCAGAGCCTTAAGGAATGTTTTTTTCAGAGGTAAGATGAAGAAAAAAAAACAAAATAACGAGTTGACATGGCAGCAAAAAATCTTTACAGAAAATATTCTCAGATAATCATGAGGAAACAACTGACCAAACATGGACAGTCATGGGAGATGTAAAGCACAGACATGAAAGTAACACAGTGACACAAAATACTAAGAAACACTAATGACAGACAATGGCAAACACCTGGGGAGACAAGAAGGATCTGGTGAGAGTGGCCAGGAAGAAGCATAACCACCTAAGGAAAAACACTGGGGAAAACTGAAACACACGTAATCAGAACAAAAGAATCAAAAGAAACCGAAATAAAAATATCACAAAGTCACTGAATCCTCCTAGAACCTTGGTGAGTCGTCACCTGACAACCTTAAAAAATATCAAAAACTCAGGAGGGCAGAAACCATCAGATGGACAATTGTAACTATAAACAAAAACTGGCAGGTAACAGACCTGGGAGAAACAAAAAAACAACGAAAAATAAAAAACATCCAATCAAAGGACTCAATAGTTCAGCTGGAAAACTCTCGGCACGTCAAGTCAAGTCAAGTCAATTTTATTTGTATAGAACATTTAAAACAGGATTTGTTACCAAAGTGCATTAACAAAAGAGAGATGTACATGAGGAAACTAAGCTGCAGCCACTTGAGCGGTGCCACCTTTTTAGATGTGACAACGTGAGGAAAGGGGAGATCAGAAAGCTGAAGCTTCTAGTTTACGTATCCTCCAGGAGCAATTTGAGACAAGTTGGCCTGTCCAAGGACAGTGAGGAGGTCAAATTCTGATGAACAATAATTATTTGGGCCACATTCAAGTTCTGCTGGTACACGATGGCGAATCCTAACAGCCAGATTTAGTGGACATTCCACTTGGTCCGTGATTGATTAGTTTTCTCTAAGATTGAATCCTTCATGCCGGCGAGTTCCAGGAGCCACAAGTGGCCTACGATCCTCAGAAATCACGTCCAGCTTGCGGTTAAGCTCGATAAACATACGAGTCTGAGAGGTCAAGGCACAAATTTTTCATTCATTCAACTTTTATTTAGACAGGTTAATCCAACTGAGCCTCAAGAACTCATTTACAAGAGAGACCTGATTTCAACAAAGAATGATGATAACAATGGACAACAGCAACAACAATAGACTATCCTAAAAGACGCATACAGATTTTTTTTAATTTATTTTGTTACAAATTAAAGTAAGATGGCAAAAAACGTAACAAAAACAGCTAGATTATAAGGCGAATGTAGAAAACTAAAAACAGGAATATATCTGCATTGGTCCTTGCCAGGAGTCCAACAGATTCTTAAAGCCACTTAGAGAGGTCAAGGTAATTAATTAATCCTTCACATAAGGCTGGCAGCTTTACCATGGCTGAAACTGCTGCCAACATCTTCCTAATTTGTCATATTCAACCTTTATTTCATAAATTCACAATATCCTAGGTATTCGCCGATTCCAAAAAGCAGAAACCCTGTTATAAATTCAATAATGTAAACATCTTCTACGTCCTCCACAAACAGCACAGATAGGCACATCATCTTCCACCCCTCCCCAGGAATCAATGGTATACTCAGCTGTGTGGGTCCGTTCAGGGCATGAGGGCGCTCTAGCTCCCAGTCGTCTGGAGGAAAAAATGTATCAATTGCGTTGAGGGACCAGCTGACCAAATCCATAATAATTTTCTATTTGTAAGAAGTGTAAAGAGTGGCTCTGATTAACAGGACAAGAGAGCAAAAAAGCAGGAGGGAGGGAGGATAAGAGCGACTGTCTTCGTCAAGAGCCAAAGAGAGTCCCGTCAGGGGGCTCAAGAGTTTGGGTGGACTTCCTAGGGCTCATCCAGGACAGAAGCAAAGTTCAGGAGGATGGCCAGGAACCATCCAGAGTGGATCAAGTGAGGCGTTAGTCTTGGACCTCTTGAAGTTGAGTGAGCAAGAGGTGCCAGTCTTGGACCCTCTCAGAGACGGTTCAAATCCCAGCCCGGGGCCTTTCTGGGTGGAGTTTGCATGTTCTCTCTGTGCATTTGTGGGTTTTCTTCGGCTACTCCGGTTTCCTCCCACAGACCAAAAACATGCATGTTAGGCTGATTGGTAACTCTAAATTGTCCCTAGGTGAGAGAGAGAGAGTGAATGGTTGTTTGTCTTGTTTGTCTCTCTGTGTCCCTGTGATGGACTGGAGACCTGTCCAGGGTGTACCCCACCTCTCACACAGTAATGACTGCACATGGGCACCAGTGACCCCCATGACCCGAAATGGAAGAAGCGGTAAAGATAATGGATGGATAGATGGATGGATGGATGTTGTCAGATTTGCCCATGTGGGCAGCTCTAAATTTTTTGTCGAGCTTAAAAATGTTGCTTTTGGATCAGAAGCCATTTTTTTGATTAGCATGATGAGATGTAAAATGTGCTTCACTATGAACATGTAATATTATGTGATGGTTCTGACAGTTTTCAGTTCATATTAGGCTGGACCCATAAGGTTTTATGGATTGTTCCAAACATCCAAATCAGATGATTTTCCTTCTTAGTTCCTTGTGCTTTTTCATTGTTTTAGTATCTGTGTTAGCGCTGTCAACAAAAAAATAAATAAAACAGTTGAAAACATTCACAATCAATAATTATCCTAGGCCTTGTCAAGATAAAATACATTCTAGAACAATCACCACCATTTAAAATTTTCAAGTGATGTACATATGTATGCATGTACGTATGTAGAAAATTGATAGGGTGAGAAAAAATCCTCAATGAATTCAGACGTGTGTACCCTTTTCTTGTCTTTAAAAGGCCTTGAAGTTTTATGTTATATAGTCATTAAAGTCCCTGTGACATAAAATATTTGTAATAAATATGAATACATATTTGGAAAGATAAGATTAGTAACAGTGCAAAAAATATTATTGAGATGAACAGTTGTTGAAAAAATTGCATGAGCAGTAACAGGAAGTGATGACAATGGGGAACACCTGCATGTAAATAGAGCATTGCTTTAATGGCTAACAACCTTTACTGGAGTACCTGGAGAAAACCCATGCAAAGATGAGGAGAACTGCAATCTCCACACAGAAAGACCCTACATTTGGGGATTGAAGTGACCTGTTTGAATTGTTAAAAAAATACAGACAGCCCAAACAGTCATAATCTTAACCAACTGTGCAAACAAACTAGAATCTAACCAACATGAGTCTAACTGATATATTTTCAACACCTCAGCATCAAGAGAGCAGTGGTCTTATTGATGAAGAGTTCACTGCAGCCCGGCTCTACATTAGCAAGATGAAGTCTGTGGTAAAGACCATGGTGAAGCGTAGCAAGCAGCTGGAGAGCACCCAGTCTGAGAGAAGCCAGAGGCTGGATGAGACTGAAAAAGAGCTGACTGCCTGCCAGCTTTGCATTTCTCAGGTAACTGCTGCCAAATACAGCTGCATCATCAGCACATTCAGCAAAGTTTCAGATTATGTGGCCATAAATCAGGCAGCAGATTAAAAACTGTCCACAGATGTAACACTCTGAACCCACTCACTCATGAAGATTTTGTATTCTGTCATTCCTGTCCTGTTGTACAGTATGAAGCTAAAATCAAGTCCCTGACAGACTGCCTGCAGAATGTGGAGCAGAAGAAAAGACAGTTGGAGGAAAATGTGGACCTTCTAAATGAAGAAATAGTCCGGATCAAAGCTCAAGGTGAGCCACTTCTCTTTGGTGCTGCTAATTCGGTGAGTACAGCAAATCCTCTCATTGTGAACGTAATAAAGGTGCAAATCTCTCAGTGTCTGGCGATTTGATTCAATTCCAATTTTGGGCGTCACGATTTGATTTAAAATTGATTTTTCAATTCAGAAAAGATTTTTCTATTGAAATGGTCATAAATTTTGTTTCAATTATGTAACTGACAAGTGAAAAGATTAAACAACAATATAAATAGAACATTTATTTAAAACAATAATTTTAGGTTCTTTACTGTATCAAATCTTTTTGCTTCATTTTATATTTATACCAAAAATAGGAACAAATATAGGAGTGCATAAAATTATGTAACTTAAATTACCAGTGTTAGGTAATAGGTAATTTTATGTAATTTTCAAAACTTAACCTAATGTGAAATATACAGACTTCACAGTCTTAACCATCTTGATTTATATTTGGTAAATCTGTAACAAAATTTCAAAACCTGTGCAAACCTGCACAAAAACTCTTCTGAAGTGTAATTTATGAACCATGAACTGTATCATTTATAACTGGCTCCAGGCGATGTGTCTCATCTGGCCTCTTCAACCTGTTAAAAAAACAAATTACATAAAGATTTTTGTTTAACTCATATATATAAGTTTTTGTATAATATGAGAAAAAAACAGTTACCTATGAGCTGCAGCTGGTGCATTAATCAGAGCTGCTCACTCTTTATTTTTGTTTCATGGTGAAGTTGTGGCGTAGCTTTATCAAAAAAAATCTACAAACCGGATTCCAAAAAAGTTGGGACACTAAACAAATTGTGAATAAAAACTGAATGCAAAGATGTGGAGGTGCCAACATCTAATATTTTATTCAGAATAGAACACAAATCACAGATCAAAAGTTTAAACTGAGAGAATGTATCATTTTAAAGGAAAAATCTGTTGTTTCCAAATTTCATGGCGTCAACAAATCCCAAAAAAGTTGGGACAAGTCCATTTTTACCACTGTGTGGCATCCCCCCTTCTTCTTACAACACTCAACAGACGTCTGGGGACAGAGGAGACCAGTTTCTCAAGTTTAGAAATAGGAATGCTCTCCCATTCAGGTCTAATACAGGCCTCTAACTGTTCAATCGTCTTGGGCCTTCTTTGTCGCACCTTCCTCTTTATGATGTGCCAAATGTTCTCTATAGGTGAAAGATCTGGACTGCAGGCTGGCCATGTCAGTACCCGGATCCTTCTCCTACGTAGCCATGATGTTGTGATTGCTGCAGAATGTGGTCTGGCATTATCGTGTTGAAAAATGCAGGGTCTTCCCTGAAAGAGAGGACGTCTAGATGGGAGCATATGTTGTTCTAGAACCTGAACATAGTTTTCTGCATTAATGGTGCCTTTCCAGACATGCAAGCTGCCCATGCTACAAGCGCTCATGCAACCCCATACCATTAGTGATGCAGGCTTCTGAACGGAGCGTTGATAACAACTTGGGCTATCCTTGTCCTCTCTGGTCCGGATGACATGGCGTCCCAGTGTTCCATAAAGAACTTCAAATCGTGACTCGTCTGACCACAGAACAGTCTTCCATTTTGCCACACTCCATTTTAAATGACCCCTGGTCCAGTGCAAATGTCTGAACATGTGGAGCTTGCTTAGAAATGGCTTCCTCTTTGCACTGTAGAGTTTCAGCTGGCAACGGCGGATGGCACGGTGGATTGTGTTCACTGACAATGCTTTCTGGAAGTATTCCTGAGCCCATTCTGTTATTTCCTTGACAGTGGCATTCCTGTTTGAGGTGTAGTGACGTTTAAGGGCCCGGAGATCACGAGCATCCAGTAGAGTTTTACAGCCCTGACCCTTACGCACAACGATTGTTCCAGATTCTCGGAATCTTTTGATGATGATATGCACGGTTGATGATGATAACTTAAAAGTCTTTGCTATTTGACGCTGGGTAACACCATTCTGGTATTGCTGCACTATCTTTCTGCACAACAATGGTGGAATTGGTGATCCTCTTACCATCTTGGCTTCTGAGAGACACTGACACTCTGAGAAGCTCTTTTTATATCCAATCATGTTGTCAATTGACCTAATTAGTGTTAATTGGTCTTCCAGCTGTTCGTTATATGCTCAATTTAATTTTTCCAGCCACTTATTGCTACTTGTCCCAACTTTTTTGGGATTTGATGAAACTGTGAAATTTTGAATCAACATATTTTTCCTTTAAAATGTTACATTTACTCAGATTAAACTTTTGATCTGTCATCTATGTTATATTACGAATAAAATATTAGATGTTGGCACGTCCACATCATTGCATTCAGTTTTTATTCACAATTTGTTTAGTGTCCCAACTTTTTTGGAATCCGGTTTGCATGTGAAGGAATAACATACATTGAATCCAGCGTATTAAAAATAAAACTAAACCCCTCACATTCCACTGAGCTGTCTGCTCATAAATCTTTTTGATATAGCAGAAGATGGAGAGGGAAATCTGTGCAGCCCTGCTTGGGAATCATCTGAAAGTTTGTTGCAGAGCTCGCTATCTGCTGCTTTCGCATTCATCTTCCGTGCATTTTGTCATATTTCCAAAATACTGTACCATAATTTTATTTTACACTTCTTGCAAACAACCATGCTCTTGTTATGCTTTGTCTTCCCCCGGAAAATTGTAGGATCCGAAATGATTTTTAACTATGTAGGAGCGGGTTGAATCGCGCTGTCGTCCCGCTCCATGCTAGTAGACTTCATTCAGATAAAGGGAGCTGGCTAACTAACTTGCTGTATGGTGGCCTACACGGCCCAATTCTACGGCGGCTGAGCGGACACATAATGCGATATATTGTACGCTCGGGAGTGGAAGTAGGAAAAAAAAAACTTAAATGCATTTTAAAATTGATTTATGGGCCTTTAGAATCTATTCAGAACCGCCAGAACCAATAATCTAGATTCTTTATAAAAATCAATTTTTTTCTCAACTCCTAGAACGTAATTTTATTCAGCAGGTGACTTGTAAAATACACATTTTGAACAAGTCTCATTATTAACGTATGTGCAATGATAATAATTATATAGTCTGTAAAAGACCTCCAGCTGACACAGCACATAAGTGAAGTTACTGTAAAAATGTAACCATTTTGAAACTTAGCATTTGCATTATCTTGGGGTCTGACAGTTCGCTGTTCTCCGATGACCCGCTGCTTCTTGCTCACACTCAGCAGAGCGGCTACAAGGAAAGTTTAGTCTTTTTTTTTTGGCAGCTCCTCTTTGCACGGGTCATCACAATGAGCACTCGTACAAAACATTTGGCAATGGTTTTATGCCCAATGCCCTCCCTGACACAACTTGGACTCGAACCTGCAGCCTCAGGATTATGAGACTGCAGCACTGACAGCTAAGTTACTACAGCATGACATAGTGTTAAAATAAATGTCATGAATTGGAAGAGAAATTTGCATTAGAACAAGTTTGTAATTAGAGGTTCTACTGTGTATTCAAGGATCTACATAAATAAATACAGCAACGCAAATCTACAAAAAACTGGTATACTGATCAGGCTGACTGAAGGTGAGAGTGAAAACTGACATAGGGAACGCAGGGTCTGAAATAAAACACAAGAAACAAACACAACAGAACTCAAAGGAGCAATATAAAACATAAATCGTGAAAGGAGAAAGCACAGATATGATATATATAGTTGATGAATGAAGAAAAATAAAGGTCAAGAGTTCTCCCTCCCACACATGAGCGTATAGGTGGTTTGAGCATCTGATAAGGATACCTTCTGGGTGTCTCTCTACGGACGTGCTCCATCATGTCCGAGTGGGAAGAGACTCCCGGGAAGACCCAGGACACACTGGACAGACTATGTCTCCTGGCTGGCTTGGGAACACCTTGGGGTCCTCCCAGAAGAGCTGGAAGAGATGGCGTGGACAAGAGATGTCTGTGCCTCCCTGTTTAAACTGCTGCCCCAATGACTACTTTGAAACAAGTGGAAGATGATGGATGGATGGATGGATGGATGGATGGATGGATGGATGGATAAATGCTTCTACAAACACTCTGTTATTGTATACTTGACTGACTGCATAGTCAGAGTTAATCATTTGTGCTACTTAAAACTCTCATTAATAAAACTTTATCAGTTATTGCAAAGTTTAACAATGTGCTTAACAAACATAAATCCGTCTGAAAGAAAATTCCCTGCAATTATTTTTTATCTTTGGTCCAATTGGTGAAAATTCGTAATGATTTTAAATCCTATTTTTAAAACCATTTGGTAAATATTTAAAACTATAAAAAGCTATTGAAGAAAAAACTATAACATTTGTTATTTTTATCATAAGTATTTTAAAAAGCGTCCTATTTTTTTAATTGTTGGCGATCGTTAAACTGTTTATTTGGTCTCCTTCTAGAAAAAGTCAACACCATGGAGAAGGAGAATGAGATCCAGTCTGCTAATGAAGTGAAGGTACCTTGTCTTGAAGCTGATGATTATAAGTCTGGTTCTAGATTGGACGTTTACTCATGACATACTATGAATCTGTGCTGGCATGTGTTCAGGAGGCGGTGGAGAAGCAGATCCAGACTCACAGAGAGGCCCATCAGAAGCAGATCAGTAGTCTGAGAGACGAGCTGGAAAACAAAGAAAAGGTTGTCACTGAGCTGCAAGAGTAAGACAACAAGTTACCAAATGCTTTACCATTCTGTTGGAGCATCCGAGCCTGTGTTGATTCTGTGAGTGTTGCTGGTGCAGTTTGAGCCAGAAGGTCATGCTGGAGCAGGAGAGGCTAAGAGTGGAGCATGAGAAGCTGAAGGCTGCTGACCAGGAGAAGAGCCGCCAGCTGCAAGAGCTCACGTAAGACTTGGTGTTAAATCAGAAATACATTTTTTGTCACTGCTGGGTGTGCGTGCTTCTATTAACACCTATTTCATGTGTGACAGAGTGCTGCAGGACAGACGGGAACAGGCCAAGCAGGACTTGAAAGGACTGGAGGAGACTGTGGTCAGTTATTTGTATGATTACCTAAACTGTCCAGCTAAAGTATGACTTCATCCTAATGACAAAACGGTAACACCCATCACCTTGTATCTAGTTAAAGAAATGTAAGTACTATCTAGCTGTGGGCAGACCAGCTGAGATACTAGTGGGTCTTAATGGTCTGACCATGGGGCCATCACCTCTTAATAACAAGTCTCAACCCAAATTGAAGTATATTTTTAAGTTTCTGAAATTTATTGAGCATACACGGTGAATCGAACAAGGTTAAGTCAAGTCATCTGGACGAATTGTTCTTAGAAGAATATGTCCAGATGACCTGACTTAACCTTGTTAGATTTTTGTACGTGGATTATTGAGCATCCATCAGGACATCCACAACGAAGTTTATCACTAGACAAAATTACTTGCAAGTGGTGAGTCCAGGGCGGGAAGTATTCCCTTTTACACTCAATTAGCAGCATTGTAATTAAATTTCATAGGAACTGCTATGTCGCAGCCATTTTAAATTTAGTTAAGTTGTAATTTTATTGAGTTCCACTGTGAGTTCTTGTCCTATGTCGCTCTGCGGCAGGAAAATGTCCACTGCAATGACTATTTCAAGTTATTAGTATAGAATTATTATTATTATTTGCCTGTTTTCTTTGACTTAATGTTGGCTAATAGGAAATAAATGCCTCAGGTAACACCACAAGCTTCACTACCTCCACATTACAGCTACCTTTGTTTGTTTGTCTGTGGTTAGCTCACCCTGGGTTACATTTCCTCTTGGGCAGAACAATCTTACCGTTCACGTAAAATATTTGATAATGTACTTATAGAAACAATTCTTGAATGTTTTTCATATTGTGTTAATGCTCTGTTACAGTAGACCTAGCCCACTACTGGAGTTTTAATTAGGTATTTTAAGCTACTAATAAACATGATGGATGATGATCATATTGCTTTATGCTAGGCCATTGATAAGAAGGAGTGATTATTATTATTGTTTCATATTGACTAGTGATTTTTTTTCATTAAAATTTGAGAAGCGGAGCATGCTTGATTCACACAAGGAGAGCTGTTGGTCAGGCTACTTCTTGTTGTGCCATTAACTCTAAAATAGTCATTAAATCAAGTGTAATTTATGTAGGTAAAACTAGATATTTGACAACCTGTTAAAATACACCAGAATGCAGGAAATGGCATCTCATTTATTCAGAATTTTCTGGGGAAGAATCCACAGACCCCACCACCCCCAATCAGGGTGTTGGGTGTTGGGTGCCCCCCCCCCATTACAAATGCTTCCTGGATGGCTCCCTTTAGAGGTTTTCCAGGCATGTCCCACTGGTAGGAGGCCCCGGAGAAGATCCAGAAGTTGCTGGAGAGATTGTGTATCTTCTGTGGCCTGGGAATGCCTCTGGGTCCCCCAGCTGGAAAGTGTCACTGGGGAGGGGGTTGTCTGGGTTTCTCTCATGGCTCTGTTGTCTCCACGACCCAATTATGGGTAAGTGATGGATGGATGATGGATGGATGTATGCATGATGGATGGTTAATTACAGCAACAAACAAATATTTCTGTACAACAACTGGGAATTCTAAGATATATATTGCAACATGAGAAAACTAGACAGTTGTGAAGGTTTTAAACTTGTCTTTTTTGCCCTTCTAAGCTGATTTTATTTGTTTTTTAGGCTCGAGAGCTGCAGACCCTGCATAATTTGAGGGGACTTTTTGTTCAAGATTTAGCCACTCGAGTCAAAAAGGTAAAAGTCCTTATTTTCTCTGTGTGAATAAACGGGTTTGATTTTGTTGTCTGAAAGTTCTAAAGATAGATCATACATGTTGGTGTATCTGTCGTTGTAACATTTGATCTTGTTTTATTTAATTTAGCATGATACAGAATGAACGCCACGTAAGCCACTGCACTTACTATCAGAAACATGTCTTCATATTCTTCTGCAAAACGGCTCCACTCTGGTTTGGACCATGATGTTCTTTAATGATTCAAGGGAACACAACAGACAGTGTCTGTGATAAGTAGGGCGTCTGATTCTTCAAAGGTACTGTATATAAATTAGGGACCATAGTCTCAGCATGGTGCACGTGTCCTGCCTGAGAGGCCTGATGAAATAAATAAAAGGGAGACTAGGTTCTTCTGAAAGACACAAAAAGGGGTTTGTTGTACTAAAGTAAAAACTAATAAATTTCACACAATTTCTTGGCCTTTTTGGTACTGGTATCTTTTTAAAATTAAAATACAGTAGTCCCTCGTTTATCTCGGGGGTTCCGTTCCCAGCCCCCTCGCAATAAGTGAAAAACCTCAAAGTAGGTATAGTAGTACAAATAGTAGTATTAGTAGTTAATTTTAGTATTCATATATATATATAGTAAGGCTTGATAAACCCTGCCCACACTCTTGCAATATTCAAAATAATGTATCTAAACTCTAAAGGCTGTAAAAGACACATAATGTCATGATTGCAGCTCTCTGCCACGCCCACTTCTCCACTGCAATCACCCTCATCACTTCCCAATCTCCCTCCTTCTGCGTAAATAAACAATTTAAATTTAACTACTGTAATATTTTAAATGAACAATCCATGCTGCATGGATTGTTCATTTAAAATATTACAGTAGTCCCTCATTTATGTTTACTTTGTGAACAAAATATTTATTCGAAGTTCTATCAGGAGGAGCAAGTCAGCTGTCACTCAAAGAGCTCGATCATCGGTGGAGAATCCGAAGCTGCAATGACGTCAGAGGGAGCGGAGGTTTGGACAGACGTGGGTCATTCACACAGCGCAGGAAAACAAAACTTATTTGAGGGTTTTAGCTGGAATCGATGGTCTGAAGGCAGAGCAGACGTGGAGGTCCAGATATCTGATCGTGGGCAGAAGGATCTGTCTTGGGCGAGGCAAAGGAGAGGAATTTGTGTTTGAAATTGGTCAGGAACAGACAATCTGCAGACATTGGGGAGCACTTTAAGAAGTGCAGCACACAAAAATAAATAATTAAATAAATAAAAGCACAGCACAAAAAAACAATTTATTTAAAATAAATTATTTTAAATGATTTAGCACCGGCTGCAGCAGGTTGGGGGGTCACTGGCCATTCGGAGCATCAGGACATTTCCAGGTGGCCTGGCCGTTCACCAAGGGCGCTTGATTATTTAAAATAAAGCAGTGCATGCAGCGTGGATTGTTTATTTAAACTATTACAGTACAGTTTTTAATTTTAAATTGTTTATTTACACAGAAGGAGGGAGATTGGGAGTGATGAGCACGAGTGTGATTGCAGCTGAGAAGTGGGGAAGTGGGTGTGGCAGAGAGTGGAGATCATGACTACACTGCTGCAGGAGGGAGCTTCTCCCTGCACCTGTGGGTGTTACACGGGTGCAGCAGGTGCTAAATCATTTAAAATATTTTATTTTAAATAAACAATCGATGCTGCTTGTGCAGCTCATTCATCAGTCAGCCAATTGTGTATCATGTCCAGTCTTACTTTGAAAAACTGCGAAAGTCGAACCGCGAAGTAGTGAGGGACTACTGTATTACAGTATTTCAATTTAAATAGTAGAGAAGAGAAGCACAGCAGGACAGAAAAGGGTTAACCCTTCACGCAGCTCTGCAGCACGGAGCAGAAATGTACCTCTTGATAAATTACACTTCAACAACTGAACATAGAAGTTCGAAAATAATTAAAAATAACTTTTAACACGTTTAACAACAAAGTCTATGCTAAATAATCCAGGTATACAATCTAACATTTTTCAGTCAGGGGCGTACCAAAGAGACCATCTTATCACAAGCAAAACTGGTTTGTTCCACTTTGGAGTAAGCTGTTGGGGGAAGAATCAGTTTTGTTGTGTGTTTCCTTTACTGATGAAGCCTTCTGGATCGAAGGATCGGACTGAAAAATGTTGGGTTTTAACACTTTTGTATTTTGTGAGTATGACGATTTTACGATGTGACATATTTTGAATTTTAAGTTGGAAGGCAAAAGTCAATCGGTGCATCTGGACAGCAAAGGGTTAACCCTTCAGAAGCTGCTGCAGCAGGAGGAGAAATGTGGGCGTGGCAGAGAGCGGAGATCATGACATGCTGCAGGAGGGAGCTTTTCCCTGCACCTAATGATTTAGCAGGTGCTAAATCATTTAAAATAATGTTTTTTAAATAAACAATCCATGGCTCATTCATCAATCTGCCATTGTGTGTCATGTCCAATCTTACTTTGAAAAACCATGAAAGTTGAACCGCAAAGTATCGAGGGACTACTGTACTTTCAAGCTGGGGCTGAGACAGCAGGTTTTTTTGTGCTTGTATTTTTTGTAAAGATTGAGGTGCCATTCTGTGTTTGTCTCTCCTTCCTGTCCTCTCAAACCTCAGACGGTTGAAGCAGATGTTCGCTTGTCCTGAGCCTGCTTCTGCTGGAGGTTTCTTCCTGTTAAAAGGGAGTTTTTCCTTTCCACTGTTGCCATTGTGCTTGCTCAGGATGGGAGACTGTGATGAAGAGTACTTTCTATTGGAACAAAGACAAAAAACAAAAATGTTTAGAAATAATTACAAATACAAACGGTAGAGTAGAGCAAATCAAGAGAGCAGCAGAGAGAGGAAATGTGGTCAGTTTGTCCTCCAGCAGTCCAAGCCTATAGCAGCCTAACTAAGGGATACCTCAGGAAACCCAAGTCAACCCTAACTATGGGATTTCTCAAAAGGGAAAGACTTAAGCCTAATCTTAAAAGTAGACAAGGTGTCAGCCTCACGGACAAAAACTGGAAGTTAGTTCCACAAGAGAGGACTACACAAGCTGAAAACTTAAACATAATTGTATTGATTGAAATGATCATTTCAGGGTAGAAAACTGTCAGTCTGGCAAATAAAAAATCCTTTAAGTTAATTTATACTCTGCAAAAACTTTCTGTATTAT